AAAGGCACATGGCCAAGACACATGCAGTATAATCCTCTCTCTATCTAGACCATTGTGAGTAGGATCATGGGTTAAGTTTGTTTTTGTAATTCTGGGTCATGGAAATCTGTTAAATGAGGACCAGAAGGGAATCACTGTAGACTACTATACAATTGCAGAATGGTCAAACTTTGTGATTTTAACAATATCTTCCATTGTCCTCCCATCTGGACAGTGTAAATAATAAAAATAAAATGATATAAACTGGCAGCAATTACTGGTCATGTGTAACTCCTTGTACTCAGCAATTCTCTTTTTATTTAGAGCAGAAAAGTGAAAGATTGATGTAGGTGGGATGAACAGATGCTCTTTAAAGGCCCTATCCGCACTTGTGCACAAACACAGGGGATAGCAAAACCTGCTGTATATGCGGTGTCATTCATTGTGAAGGGCACCCCATCCAATTGTAAAGGACAATGCACAACACAGTACACCACAACACACATAGTGCATTGCTAAACAAAAAAAACCCCATGAGCATTTTATATCTGATGAGGTGCATAACACGTTAATGCACAACAGATCACTGAAGGTAGAAAAGAGTAAGCATATTTTTTACAACACCTGAGTTCCTTAACTGTATTCAGGAAATGTATGAAAAAAATAAAATAAAATGCAACCTTTTTTAAAAATATACTCAGAGCTGCACTGAGATTATCAAGTGTCCTGTAAGAATTATATGTATATATTTAGTGGCTAGCACTAAATCTACCATCTGTGATTTTATTACATCTTAAAGGTATACTTTCCTAAATGGTTTGTGTACAAAATAGCACAGTGCACCCAAACGCTGAACATTACGGACATTGTGCCTGTCATATACTGTACATGGTCACTGCATGAGGTGGTTGAGGCAATCATGTAACAATACCAGTTTTTGTGCTGGGGTCTTTATGCTGTGTTGTGAATGAGGTTCACTCCACTAAGCTGTCAAGGAGCCTGATGAGGGTGGGCCTTGGGCACTTTGTAAGATCCTATGCACTAGAAAAGAACTAGAAAATCTTTGTTTTAATGTATATGTTTAAAGAAATAAAATATTGAACAGTGTATCCCATCCATTATAACCCATAATGTGGGGAAATAAGATTTTTGTACTCACTGTAAAATAGTTTCCTTGGATGCCATTGAGGAACACTTGAAGTCTTTCACCTTACTGGATTGTAAGAAAAAACTGCAGGCCAGCCCAGGATAACCCTTACTACCAGCATGCCTCAGTTTTGTAACAAAACAGTACAGAGAACATAATTATAAACACAGAAGGGTGGGACCTGCCCTTAGTGGACTTTAACATTTTTTGGGGGTAAATACAGAAATTTTATGTCCTTTCCCAGCCATTCAGGGTTTTTTCGATCCATTGAAGCCTTTTACCTTCAGGTCATCCAAAAGCTGTCCAACAGAGGGGTGGGGCAACACAACAAATGTTAACAGCCCCAAGAAAACAACAAAACTACAGACTGCCTGAAGCTAAGAACAGCCATAAGGACCCTACACCCAAAGCTGACATCAGATGAGGCCACAACATCCACCTTGTAGAAGATAAAGAACGTGTGAACAAAGACCAGATGGCAACCTTGAAAATCTGGGAAACAGGTGTTGATGTAAAGTGGAACCCATATTGTGAGACCAGGTCCCATGGAAAAACAAACAATTCTTGCAGGATAAGGCCAATAGCTCAGACACTCATCTTAAAGAGGTGATGGCTACAAGGCATACCACCTTGTGGGTGAGACTAGAGAGATGAATGTCTACAGTGGATTCAAATAGTTGTGTGTGAATTATAGAGAGAACGAGATTCCATTAAGCTACATGGGAGACTCCATATACAAAGGTCTTAATCAAAGAGTAAGAGACCAATGGTCTCTGAAACAAGTTAGAAAAAGCAGAAACTTGTCCTTGGATGGTCCCGAGAGCCAAATGCTATTCCTGACCCAGCTGTAAGGAGAGGATTGGTCCCACTGAAAATTTCCTAGGGTGTAAACCCAGAGACTTACACCAAGTGAAGCATGCCTTCCCTGTCTGGTGATAGACCACGTGAGAAATATACTTCCTAGCTTTGGAATCACACATACCCCTGTTCTTATAACCTGGGCTTAAGCTAACATGCCATGAAAGCCAACAACCGTGAAGTAGGATTAAAAATTTGTTTTTGAGACAGAAGGTCCAGACAATCTGGTAGAGCTCACAAAGCATACGTCAGAAGTCCTACTAGGTTGGAGTACCACATCATCTGGGCTAACCCAGAGCAATAAGAATCACTGGAATGCCCTTAATCTTGATCCTGTGAAGCAGATGAAGACATTTTAGGGAAGGAAAGGCATAGCTCAGGGTGTACTGTTTCCAAGGAGTTACCAGAGCATCCACTGCTTCTGCTAGAGGATCCTTGTGCATGGGGAAAAACCTGTCCTGTTTGTTGTTGCACCTGGAGTCCAGCAGGTTCACATCCGATGTTCCCCACCTTTGACACAGGTCCTGGAACACCTTAAAGGTGTAGGGACCACTCTCCAGGTCTAAACATTGTCAGATGAAGTCTGCCTGCCAACTGTCCACTCCTGGAATGTACAGAGCAAATGTGGATGGATGTGAATTCTGCCCAGGAAAGGATTTGTTCTACCCCTCCTCTCACAGAAGACTTCTAGTTCTTCCTGGGTGGCTGATGTATGCCACAGACGTGCCATTGATTGGCTGCATCCGGATTTAATGACCCACCAGCAGGATGGTCCTGCTGCAAAGACAGACAAATTGCCTGAAGCTCTGAGATATACTCCACTCCAGCCTAACAGACTGACATCTGTCATGAGGATCTTCCAAAAGACAGAAAGGAAGGACTCCCCTCACCCCCATTTCCAGAGCTGAACTCCTGAGCCACCAAGCCAGAGAAAACCTGGTTCTCAATGCCAACGTGTTATCTGTCCAGGCTGACAACAGAATGCTGCATTGCAGAGGTCTAGAGGTGAAACTAAGCAAACAGGACTGCTTCAAAAGGAAGCTACCTTTAGACAAAATACTCTTATGCAAAAGCTGATCGTTGGATGACTCCTGGACTGGAAAGCTTGAATCTGAGATTAGAGAATCTGAATTTTCTCCTGTGAGAGAAGAACTGTGGCTTCAGCTGCATCACATTGTTCAACAGAGTCTGTGTCAACTGGTCTCTAAGCAGGAGGTCATAAAGGTAATCCACAGTGGGGATCCTTGTAATCCAAAGTTAGAAAATCTCCTTGGTAAAGTGAGCCAATGACAGACCTACCATATGACATTTCAGAGCTTGTATGAATAAATGTAGTGCTCTTAGATCCAAGATAGGATGGATGGCTCTTTGGGTTTCGGTACTGTGAACAGTTTGGAGCAAAAACATTTTTGCGACAATAACTGGGGCAATGACACTTTGATCAAGACCTGAGAGGGCTTGATGGAGATCTGTTAGTCTGTGTGGTGAAACAAGAAAGGTGAAGGTGAGAAACGGAGGAGATGGCAGTGAGTAATACTCAGGTTAATAAATGTTCCTGCCCTCTGAAAAGCGCACCTTTTGGCCTGACAGTCAAGCTTGGGGGTGTGGGGGGGGGTTGGACGTGAATAGTGTGGAAGCAGAAAAACAAAGAGGATGTTTTCTAACTGACAGCGAGGGATAAGACTTTGCAGTCTGTGTCATAGTTTCTTCCACTGAGTAAGATGGCTGCTCATGCCACCAGAAGCCTCCCTGATAATGGTATCCAGAGCACATGCGAAAGGATATTGTCCTTTCGAAGGCCATGCAGATCAGACACTTCTTAGACACAGGTTCTAAGTCCAGAACTTTAAACAAAGTGTTCTCCATATGTGTAGGGGGGACAGGAAAACCATGCAGGAGATGTGACAGAAATTCTCCACTAGCTTAAAGTTACAACCATTTGCTTCAAATGTTCTATGATCAACTGTAGCAGTGGCAAGATGCCTTTTAAGGTACTTAGATCAGTCAGCCAGGATTTGACAATGCAAGGTTGCAACCAAGAGAGGAAGGGGACAAATAACGCCTGCCAGCAAAACCAGAGAGGGCTTCTAATTCATCAGTTGGATCCTTAAAGACAACTGCAGCCTCCTGCCAATTAACAGTGTGGGCATCCCACTTTTTTTTTTAAAAAAAAGTTCTCTTCAAACAGATACAAAGCTTATAAGCTTTTGTGGGAATTAAATATGGTGTTTCCAATCCCCATATAATAGAAGACTTGGAAAAGCGGGTGCAGAAAGAAAGTCTTTGTGGTCTTCGGGGCTATAAAGGACCCCAGATTGGGAATAGCACTGTCAGAAGCAACAGTTTCAGAGTGATGCACACCACAACTATGAGAGCTGAAACCGTCTCTTTACATTTATGAGCAATGTCAGAAAACTGCAACTCCTCGGAGACAAGCACCCTCAGGTAAAAACTGGAGTGACTCAGCAGCAGAGGCTCAAGTAGATCACATATAAAACCTGCATGGGTAGGTGCAGGAGCTCATTTGTGGCCTCAGCAAAAACATTGGGTGATTTGGGCCATTAAGTCTTGACTTACCCTGGGGCTGGCTTACAGTCCAATCTTCCTGTAGCATAGCCTGAAGGCGGCAAACTTCCTGTGTTAGTCAATGAATGAAAAAGAAATTAAAAATTCTTGAAATGAATACTTAGCACCGATACTGGCCATGGGTTTCACTCCTGACTCCAATAATTCTCACATCAATACTACTATTTTAAATAAAATATTTTGAAATGACTACTTTTTCTACCAGATTTTTACAGCTTCTATGACTGAAGAGATCACAAACACCCTGACTCAAGCAAGTGATGCTTGATTCGTCTGGTAAAATCACAATGATCTTTATCTCAGACAAACTGAAGAACATTGGAAGTATAGAAGTATTGCTGCTGATGACTAAACAGAATTTAATAATAGCATAAAAATTTCAGAAATATAGAAAATATATTTCTCTTTGCATGGATTGTGGATAAAGAACCTAGCTGCTTGCAAGTCTACAGAGTTGATTGCGTAAGTACGTGCACAGCTGGTTCATTAAGTCCTTGTTTTGTCCCTCTACCCAATACATTTCAACCACCACATTAGGAACCTCTTTCTTCACATTCAGCAAGCATTTGAAAAGAAAAGGAGAACCACTGCCCTGAACTGGCTGTGACCCCTCTACTGTAGCCTGGTTCAGTTCTTCAGAGGAATCATGATCATCAGTTTCAGTATTATGAGAGTGAGAGGTTTCCTTGGGTTTGTCAGATAATGCCAAGGTTTCCTCCTCAATAGATTCTGGATTGGTATCTTCTGGATGTGTCATGGGATCTGGCTCAGTGGATGGATTGCTGAAGTCTGGAGTAGATTTATTTTGCTCCTCAAAAGCTCCGGATGACTCTGGTGTTTGGAGGTCTTGCTGTGAATCCTCCTTTAGGGTTGGTTTCTCTATCTTACTCGTGTGCTTAAAATCCTTCTCAGGAGCACGAGGCAACTCTCTAAGCTGTCTCATATGCTTCCTTTTCTTTCTGCGGCTATGGATCCAGGAGTTTTCAACTGCTGTAAGAAATAAACTCTCTTCTTCTTTCCCACAAGGCATAGGTTTATGCTCAACCTGTTAGATAAAGAAAATTAGGTTTGAATATTTTAAGATACACAATGTTAATTGATACTTTATCCACATATGAAATAGGCCCAACAGTGGAGCAGTTAAACTGTCATCTCAAAGCTATTCTTTTCTCCCTATTAAGAAGTTTGAAAACACAATATTAGTGGTCTTACTGGAGTTTTATTACTAGATTTTATCCTTTCAGCAAATCTTATTACTAAATTTTTAAGTTTTGAAACAGATGCTTTATATCGATTTATTGTTAAATTTACAATAAACATTTATTAAATGACACCAGGGTTCCAATATACATGAAAATGAGCTACGAGTAGCGACTGCAGGCTCAAAAGGATAATACAAAATATTGCAGAAATAATTACCGTATTTTTCGCTCCATAAGACGCACTTTTTTCCCCCCAAAAAAGGGGGGAAAATGTCAGTGCGTCTTATGGAGCGGCCGATCCGGTATTTCCACCGCCGCCGTGTCAGAATACCGGGCCGGCCGCTCAGCTCTGCAGCGGGACCTTACTTGTTCCTCTATCCAGCGGCGCGCTGTCTTCCCGGCTTCTGTAGTGTGGGCGCTCGGCTTGACAGCCGGGTGCCAAGTGCGCATGCGCGAGAAGTGGTGCTCTTTGTGAATGGTAAGGCGGCACCTGGGACACATGACAGGTCCCAGAAGCCGGACCTATCACAAAGCGCAGCGCTTCTCGCTCATGCGCACTGGGCACCCGGCTGTCAAGCCAAGCGCCCACACTACAGAAGCCGGGAAGACAGCGCGCGGCTGGATTGAGGAACAGGTAAGGCCCCACTGCAGAGCGGACACTAACCAAAGAACAACTCCTTGTCAAATTCAGGTACCCGCTCCCCCCCCTCCCCAAAGGTCAGCAGTCATCTCCTGTACTGTCCACAGCCTCTAGTCATCCCTGTACTGTCCACAGTCTCTGGTCATCTCCTGTACTATGTCCACAGTCTTTGGCCATCGCCTGTACTATGTCTGCAGTCTCTGGTCATCTCCTGTACTATGTCTGCAGTTCATTGGTTCAGAATATTTTTTTTCCTGTTTTCTGCCTCTAAAACCTAGGTGCGTCTTATGGAGCGAAAAATACGGTACATTTTTTTGTCCAGATGACAATATTGTTAGGCTAAAAAAAAGCACGTTCATCGGGATTAAACAAAAGATAAAAACAAGCTAAATAAGTTTACCTCACCTTTGCAAACATGCCACATGTTCCACTTGTTTTTAGGGTGGAACATGCAACATGTTCCCACTCCTGCAGCCGCACCCCGATCCTTTCCCATCCGTGACAGCTGGTGGGGGATCCCCTCCCCACACCCGCTGTCTCTATTTGAAAAGAGCGTACGCCCAGCACAGAGTTCTGTCTCGTAGTCTCCGCTCTAATTCATCCCAAAGGTGTTCTATCGGGTTGAGGTCAGGGCTCTGTGCAGGCCACTCACGTTCCTCCACCCCAAACTTTCTCATCCACATCTCTATGGACCTTGCTTTGTGCACTGGTGTGCAGTCATGTTGGAACAGGAAGGAGCCATCCCCAAACTGTTCCCACAAAGTTGGGAGCATAAAGTTGTCCAAAATGTCTTAGGAATTCCCTTCACTGGAACTAAGGGGCTAAGCCCAACCCCTGAAAAACAACCCCCACACCATAACCCCCCCTCCACCAAACTATACACTTGGCACAATGCAGTCAGGCAAGTACCATTCTGACAACTGCCAAACCCAGACACATTCATCGGATTGTTAGACAGAAGCGTGATTCGTCACTCCAGAGAACACATCTCCACTGCTCTAGAGCAGTGTTTCTCAACCTTTTTTTCAGTCAAGGAACCCTTTAACATTCTCCCAAATCTCAAGGAACCCCATTCTAAAATGTAAAAAATTATCCTAATAGTTTTACAGAACTCAGTAACATCTACACGTGTAGGACACCCAACATTAGAGGTGATTTATTCTTCCAAAGCAAATACACTTTTGCACACTGGTACTGACTAGTATTTCAATGTTCCTCTTCTCCTTCAGTTTCTCTCCCTCTCGGCTAATGTAACTCCAGTGGTTATGGAGAGGGGCAAACAAGGATGCTGTGCAAGCACCTGACGTCCTCATCAACTAATGATGTAATTCGTGTTAGGATGCAGGCAGCTGGCAGGTTGTAAAAGTGCTCAATGAAAACCTATGGCTTTGTGTAACTAAAAGGCAGGCTTGATGCACCTCTGCTGGCTTGTATACAAATTTTGGGCAGTTTTTAAGCATTTTGCCAAGGCACCCCTGAAAAAGCTTGAAGGCACCCCAGAGTGCCTGGGCACCCTGGTTGAGAAAAGCTGCTCTAGAGTCCAGTGGTGGCGTGCTTTGCATTGCATTTGGTGATATAAGGCTTGGATGCAGCTGCTCGGCTATGGAAACCCAACCAATGATTTGTAGGGGTGTCCCAATACATTTGGCAATGTAGTGCATCATCCTAGAAGTAGACGTCCGTGCTTTCAGCATGGTAGGAATCACCAACGGTCCCCTGCCTCTTAGAACCTGGCTTTCAATAGCCAAGCTGTTAAAGCCAACGACGGTAAAACAGGGTGGAAAATCGGCCCTTGAGACAGAAGATCTGCCCTGAGCGGTAGCAGCCAATCGACATCCGTGACCAACTGCACTACGTTGGCATACCAAGAGCAACAGGGCCAATCCACAGCCACCAGAATGCCTTCGACCTCAATCGTTCGCAGCAGGTGGGATAGAAGCTTGAGAGGAGGGAACACAGAGGAGACTATACTGACTCCAAGAGGCCACCAGGGCGTCCGCTGCAACCGCCAGCACATCCTTTGTCCTGATCATAAATCTGAACACTTTCCCATTGAACCAAGAGGCTAGGAGATCCATGTTTGGAGTACCCCACCGAAGACAAATATGATGAAGCACACCAGGATGCAGGGACCACTCGCCATGGTCCAACGACTGATGGCTGAGAGAGTCCACCTGTCAACTGTCCATGCTGGCAATGTGCAAGGCGGAGAGAGCTGGGACGAGATGCTCTGACCACCCGAGAATGCGGGAGGCCTCCAGCAATGCTTTCACACTCTGTGTCCCTCCCTTGGTGGTTGACATATGACACTGCCATGGCATTATCTGACTGGATCCGGACGGGGTGCCACTGAAGACGTTCTGTCCACTGTTCCAGGCACAGTCTGATCACCCGATGCTCTAGGACAGTGATGGGCAACTGGGACTCCTCTGGCCTCCAGTGGCCGTGGGTCGAACTCGTCCCAAGAACTCCTACCCAACCGGAAAGGCTAGCACCCATCATGACCACTGTCCAATGCAAGGGAAACAATTTCTCCTCCTGAAGGACAAGAGGCTGAAGCGACCAAAGCAGGGACGTGCTGGTCTTTGGACAGGAGGACCTGCGGCAGAGCCGACCTCATGATCCGACAAGGTTGATGAAGCAGGAGAAGATGGAGGTTGCTTCTTGCTCACTTTACACCCTAACACCACCTCCAAAGAACTCCAGAATGGCCGTCAGTGCGTCAATAAGAACAGAAGCCCCAAAGGGACCAGCCACCTCAAGGAGGGGATTAAGTGGGCAAACTTGCTCCTGATGATCCATCTCTGGAAAGGGACCCACAGGGAAGACACCGCCAGAGACGTTCACTAGTCACAAGTGAACCCTAAAACATACAGAGGGTCAGCAGAGAGGAGGTAAAGATGCAGGCTGGAGAAGCCACATGGAGAAACACACAGATCAACTGGATGCCTGGGAACAGCCGCCCATGTGATCCAGGAGGGCTTGAGGTAGCAGAAAGGCTACAAGAAAATGGCCGCCGTATCCCCACACACTGAAGCCCAGGCCACCAATAGTCATGCAGAAACCAAAAACTTGGCTGCCACTGGGCTGTAACACAAGGCAGCCAAAGGAGGAGTAAGCCAACCCCCAAAAAATGGCCACCGTAGCCCTGTGGGCACAGCAAGGCCCATACAATACAATAGGCTGCTGCTGGACTACAAGAAAAAGGCCACCATTTGTGGCAGCAAAAACCTCAGGAAAGAGGACTGCAGCATCACATGGCACCCAACACCCCAGAAAACAGAACCAGCCTATACTGGGAGAGGACAGCAAGGCCATAGCTCAAGGTAATCTGCTACAGCACCCAGAAAGGAGCCCAGAGGGATGAGCAGAATGGGGCCCAGGGGCAAGTTCAGCAAAATGAGAGGTGGGGCAGGGAGGAGGGAACCCGAATGACCAATCAACCCGAGGAGCAACTGTACCCCACCCGTAAGGGAGGGGGAAAAAGGCTACTTATCAATCCTGCTCCAGAGACAGAACCACCTCTCCACCGAAGTGGGGGGGGGGGGACCTGCCAGGGTAGCGCTGTGAAGCGGACGTCTCATGTCCAGTCATATGTGCCCCTGCAAGACGTTTAACTCACTGGCCGCCCCAGTTCAGGATGGGGCACATCTCTGCCTACGCAGGACTTGACTAGGATCTGCTCACGATAGCTGGCCAGGCTGGGGTGACCACTGAATCTATATTATCCAGCCAGGTTGTTGATTGAACATCTCTGCAGGAAACCCATGGAAAAAAAAAAAAAAACAACTATGGAGCCAGAGGTCCCGGCAGGGAGCTAGGTCGCTACTCCTAAACACTAGGCAGAAAGAGCTGGATTGCCTATGCAGAGAGGTGGTTTATATCAGCTAGGAATGCCCATAGGCAGTGCCGAATTTCTTCTGCCTAGTATTCTACTCCTGTAGGTGGCGATATAACCCTCTGATCGAGAATAGAAGATGCAGTGTCCGTCAATGAAAGAGAAAAATTGATAGCATCAGAGTGAACATTTCCTGTAAACAGAATCATGTATTTATTCCTATTTATATAACTAAGGAAATCTATCAGGGTTTCTTGAGGCCCGTCCCGTAAGATGACGTCATCAATGTATCTCTTGTATAATTTTAGGTGGGTCCACTCCCTGGTATAGATATCCTTCTGTTCCCATTTTTTTTTAAAAAACATAATGGCTACGCTGGGCACATATGTGCCCATGGATACCCCATTTATTTGATTATAGTGTTGTCCCTGATGATACCAAAAGAAATTATTCGCCATCCCATCTTTAGACCTTCCAAAATAAATGTGTGGGGTTTTTTTTTTTTTTTTTTTAACTGGGAATGCTGATCTAGGGCCCATTTGACTGCCTCTATTTCCTCTTGCTGTCAAATGTTAGTATAAAGCAATTCTTTCTGGTTTGTGGCCAGCAAGCAATTCTCCTCTGCTTTAGCTTTTTTCAACAACTTAAATAGGTCTCTCTTATCCTTAAGGTATGCTGGTCCTTTATTAACTAGGGGCTGTGGATATACAATATATCTACATATCCCCCAAACCTGGACTATAGTGAGCCCACCCCACTCACTATGAGTCTCTCGGGGGTCTTTCCTGTTATATAACAAGTATCTTTGGAGCATCTGGGATCAAATACCTAGCCTCTTTTTTGTTTACTATATTCTTTTTCATATTCCCATTCACCAAATTCTTAATTTTTTTTTTCAATTTCTCATCATCGAAGGATCCTTCTCATCTTTGTCATAATCAGATTTAATATCATTATCTCGCCCTTGTCCGCTGGCCTAATTACAATATTCTTTTCTGTTTTGGCATGAATACATAAAGACTAGGTATTAGATCTTTTGGTACTATGTAATCCACCAAGTGTGTGCACAAATTTTTCAACTGAAGTGGTATTGGATAAGGGTTGGGTATATAAATCTCTAACATCATGGCCGGTAGACTGCTTATTGACATCTGAGGACAAAATGCATAGAGGCAGGACTTCTGGTTGGCCGTTCTGATATCACATCTGCCCAGTGGAATGAACACTGGCTCCAGGCCGAGCAGAGCAGCAGCAGTGTATCCAGCTAAAGCTTGGTGGCAACTTCCCTGTATTGCTGAAAGAGGCACATTTTTACGTAAGTGCATTACGTCTTTTATATTTGTGGTCTTAAATGTACTGCACTATGAAGCATTTTTCTCTCAGTCTTGTATGTCCCTAATTAAATTTGAAGGAAATGTGGAGCAACCTGGTATAGGAATACTTTTCTGAGCTGGTAACTGCTTACATTACTGGAGGAATATTGGAGTGATCTGTGTGGCATTTGGGTACATATGGGATGTAAATATATGGACCGATTGTTTACACACAGAACTATAAGCAGAGTTTACTTACTCTCACAATTTCTTTATCACTCAAGTGTCTTACAAGGGAGGCACTTTTGGAGTGGCAGCAGGGCAACAGGGATTTAAGAATTTTTTTTTTAGATTTTTTGTGTTATTGTAAACATTTACTAAACTCTTATCTGATGGTCCTGCCATGAAAGTCATTGTTCAGGCTCATTTGGTTATAAGGTGACAATGCTCTGTCCGTGTCTTACAACTGAATTGCACTGTCACTGTCATATGAGCTTCCTATGGAGAAAATAAGAGGTCACTTGGACATTACTCTGGCATGGTTCACTGTTTTCACCATCAGCAAAGACGTTCTGAGAAATATCATGCATCCATTACTGGCATGCAAATAGGCAGGAACTAGCTACAAATTTGCTGCAGGAGATTAGCAGCACAGAGATTCAGCAAAAGATATATAAAAAAAAAAAATGGTGAAAACTAGTATTTATTATTCTAAAAATGGCCGCCGTTTATAGTACAAAATGCTTTAGCAAAGTAAATGTGAAACAGTTAACATGCACTTAACACCTGAACTTCAGGGTGAAAATAAGACATATATTAATTTAGTTCTATTTTCAATAACACATAATTTAATGTATTTTTAAATGCAAGCAGTGTAAGTACCTTCATGTAGCATTTACTTCCTGGAATCCATATGCCATTAGGCCACGCATGCATGCAGGAAGGTGTACTTAGTTGAGAAAATCCCTCCTTACGATTTCTGGGATGTATGACATAAATTTTGCCTAGGCCTGGAAACCAGGAAGTAACTCAAGAAACAAGGATTAAAAATAGTAAATGTTGATTGAGTTTAGTTCACTTTAAGTGCAGTAGAGAGAAAAATCAGGTTTCCTTCTCTGCAATACACAGCTGTGGAGAGTGTCAAAGCTATGTGAATCTATGGATCAGAATTAAAAATTATTTGGTATATAAAACATCTCCCATACTGTATATGCGCTCCATCTGTGTATTTGGCCTTTTGTCTGGAGTTTAGCTTTAAGACTCTGCTGGTGTCAGTGCCTTATTGCAAGAATGTTACTGCAAAGGTCTGGTAAATTCAGATGACCAAGGGGATGGGGTTGGGTTTGTTACATCCTACAGACTGTGGAGGTCTTTCCACACAATGTTAGTTTTTTGGCAAAAGAAAGTGGTGAGAGGCAGTGCTAAAGAAAAAAAAAAAAAAAGATCAGCTGTAGCTGGGCCCATTAAACTGGACGTTCAGTCAAAATCTAACTAAGGCTAAACTTACTCCCACCCCCATTCTAAGCCTATTCTATCTAACACTGTAAAGAAAAGATCTGTAAACTTACCTATTCTGAAGCCGTTCTGGTCCAGTCACATGATCTCTCCAGCAGTGGCAGAGGAGAGATTGCGGTCAATGGATGCAAATGCCTGGAAGTTGATGTCACCCATAGGTGTCCTCTACACTGTAGCCGCAGCTGACAGCGGATACTGGGACTGGACCAAAGCATCTTCAGAATAGATAAGTACACACATACACACATATTTAGCCTTAGATAGATTTTGACTAAACTTCTACTTTAACTGTCATGACAAATAGACAAATGTAAATAAAGAAAGAAAAAAAAAAATTTTCTTGCACACAGCTGTCCACAGAGGGTTTTCACCTTCAGATCTGTAAGAATCTTTTTCAGAAAGCCTGTGACCACAGCCACATAGCTGAGAGTTGGGTCCTGGGGGCCATTCAATTTCTCCTTCAGCATTAGCACAGTGGTCTCTAGTATAGTAAACAACATGGGCTTGCGCGGCTTCTCCAATTTTCTTTTTTTGGAGGGTGGATTCTGGAAATGAAGATCAAAAAAACATTTAAAAACTACCAGCTTTTCTCACACAACCACCTGAAACACAAATACATGTAATTATCTATAAAAAGAAAAGGTTTATATTTTAACAGAAACCGGTCCTTTTTGAAGTGTGAAAACTGCTGAAGATAGCAATACAAATCCTTTCTGTAAGTGTACCACTGTAAAAGGGCCACTAGATGGCACCAGAGAAAAGCATACCAAATCTAAGTCCTGTACATCTTTCTCCAGCCACTGCTGGCTCACAAAATACAGTTACATACATAGAGGGCCATATATGTGTCAACACTTTTTTTTTTTTTATTATAAACAAACACCATGAGTACAATAATAATGTACAGATAAGAAAAGTCCATGTAGCAAACACAAAAAAAAAAAAAAAAAAACAAACAATAAATGGGCAGTTATGGGCTTGGTTAAAGAGAACTAAGCATATGGATACTTCTTTCAGTCCCATGTGGATAGAACACACTCTGTGGCTTGCCTGCTGGAAATTTTACATCAGCATTTACAGTCTGTCATGTTCTATAAATGATATTTACAACACCATCTAAAAGGCAAAAGTAGCTAGGTTGACAAAAAGTCAATAAAGTTCTGACATTAAAAAAAAAACAAAATAAAAAACCCACATCTGTGGTTGTCAGTGTGTAAAGTTATCAAGGTCCTTGACTGAGGTCTCTAACATCGCTAAAGGGTCACAAGTAAAGTTCATTATATGTAATGCTAAAGATACTGCAGGCATACTATAGGACAGGGGTGGCGAACAAGTTAGACACAAAGAGCCAACATTTTAAACTGTGAAAGTCAGAGAGCCACACCACGCAGTGACCTGCCAAAACAGACAAACACTCACACAAAAACACATAATTAAAACCATATTATTCACCATAACACTTTCTTCCCCTTACAAAACAACAATGTGTTCATTTCAAGGTAAGTGTCCACCCTCAACACACACATCAAATGCAACTTAGCCAGAGTTAACACATCAACTACCCTGGAGGTTGCTGTGACACCTGTCTCTCTCTCTCACTCTAACACACAAGTATACAAAAAAAAATTCTGAACTAATGGACTGCAGACACAGTACAGGAGATGACCAGAGACTGCGGACAGTACAGGAGATGACCAGAGACTGCGGACAGCACGGGGATGACCAGAGACTGCGGACAGCACGGGGATGACCAGAGACTGCGGACAGCACGGGGATGACCAGAGACTGCGGACAGCACAGGGATGACCAGAGACTGCGGACAGTACAGGAGATGACCAGAGACTGCAGACAGCACAGGGATGACCAGAGACTGCAGACAGCACGGGGATGACCAGAGACTGCGGACAGCACGGGGATGACCAGAGACTGCGGACAGCACGGGGATGACCAGAGACTGCGGACAGCACAGGGATGACCAGAGACTGCGGACAGTACAGATGACTGCTGACCTTTGGGGAGGTGGGGAGCGGGTACCTGAATTTGACAGGTACCCGCTCTTACTTCCGCAGAGTTTTTGTTTGATCTTACCTGTTCCTCGATCCAGCCGCGCACTGTCTTCCCGGCTTCTGTAATGGCGCTCGGCATGACAGCCGGCTGCCCAGTGCGCATGAGCAAGAAGCACTTGCGCTTTGTGATTGGTCCGGCGGCTTCTGGGATCTGTCATGTGTCCCAGGTACCGCCTTACCATTCACAAAAAGCACCGCTTCTTGCGCATGCGCCCTTGGCACCCGGCTGTCATGCCCAGTGCCCACACTACAGAAGCCGGAAGACAGCGCGCCGCTGGATAGAGGAACAGGTAAAAATAAGAGAAACATGAAACTTGGCAAAGAGCCACAGTATACAAAATATGATAAGAGGCAAAGAGCCGCATTCATTTTGGCCGGGAGCTGCACGCGGCTCGAGAGCCGCGTGTTCACCACCCCTGCTATAGGAAATGATGGTCAGAGACTGTGGACGTGCTACTGGTTTGATTGGACACTGGAGACATACTGCAGAAGACAGTGATAAACTTGGAACATATTACATTGGGTTAGTAGAGGTTACTGCGATTTGCTTTTACAAATAAATACTCCCACTATATAGGTCTCACGCCAAGTAACCAATGACCAAGGCCTTTACCTCTAGTTGCTTTTCCCCCCCTAAAAGATTCATCCAATTAGCACCAATATGAGGAAAGCACCCTAAGCACACCATGGATCTTCAGAACGGACCCAAAGCTTTATTCAACGATCACATCATTATAAGAGAAGCAACTATTCAGAGCCTCGCAGGACTCCTTTAGCATTTTCTTGCTCTGATCCTTATCGTTGTTCTTCGCTCCGTGAAGCTCACAAAAGTTGCTTCTCTTATAATTATGTGATTGATGCATAAAGCTTTGGACCCATTCTGGAGATCCGCAATGTGCTGGTGACATTTTCTTGGGTTGATTGCATTCGGTTCCGCCATTCGCTGCAACAACCATTTACACTTACAGTCATTTTTGCAGGAACGTGTGCATTGCGAATAGTGTGTTGGAATCCTTTCAATCACTGAGTACAATTGGATAACTACCCAGGTTCAGCATTCTAATATGTACTAATTATCTAAGATCAAGTAAAAATGTATATTCTGTAATTTTGGAAACACAACCAACCCTGTTTGTACAGCCTGCAGAAGACAATGTCATCTATACAAGATGTTCATTTCACCCTTCATCTCCTCTTTTAATTAATAAATAATTATTTTGTTTAATCTTTTCACATAGCTGAGGTCCTCTACATGCCTAGTTCAAGTACTGCAGCTGCTGTCCTTTCACCTTGCCCAGATCAAAGATGTTTTTTTTTCCCTGAATTGGTACTCAGAATTTCAGAATGCACTGTAGATGAGGTCTTACTAATGATTTGTAGGATAAAATGATGTCCTTTGTTTTGGGAGCTTATTTCTCTTAATACGAGTAGAATACTGGCTTCAGTAACTGCATATTGCCATTGCATGCTATTATTATGTATATTATTTACAAGGACATCCAGCTCTCTTTCTCCATAAATAATTCACCCAAAGTTTACCTATGACTCTACATCAGCCTTTCCCAACCTTTTTACCTCGGTGGAACCCTTAAAACAGTTTTAAAGCCTGGAGGAATCAAGAATTCCCCTTACGTTGAGGGCCAGTAGGAAGAATGACACCCCTACAGACACCTAAAAAAAAGATTGTTGGTGTAATGTTGCTTGCTTTGCTAAATGGCAATGGCTTGTAAGTATTCAAGATGGTATGCTGATCGTCCATAGCTCAAATAACCCCTAAAAACCACTGGAAAACCCCTAGGGTTCCACAGAACCCTGATTGAGAATGGCTGCTCTGCATTAATTTATAATAAGCTTAAGTGGTTCTAAAGGCTCAAGGTTTTTAAACAAATCTTTTAAAAAAACTTACTGTGTACAGCAGTCCCCCCAACCCCCCCCCCCCCCCCCCCCCCCAATATTCATCTGAGCCACATCACGATCTGGCAATGTCCACAAGAGCTAAGGTTTGCTGGGGACTCTCCCTGCTCATTGGCTGAGAAAGCAACAGGAGTCATTGGCTCCAACTTCTGTCAATTACAGCCAGTGAGCCAAAGAGGAGAATTTGGGGCAGGGTCGAGCCGTGGCTCCGTGTGTGGATGGACACACAGAGCAGCAGCTCAGGAACGCACCTGCTCAGAAGCCCCCATAGCAAGCTGTTTGCATTGAGGGCACCCAACAGGAGGGAGGAGCCAGGAGTGCCGATGGGGCACCCCAGCAGAGGAGGATCTGGGCTCCTCTGTGCAAAACCATTACACAGATCAGGTAAGTATAACATGTTTGTTATTTTTTTTCAAAAACTGAGCCTTTACTATTGCTTTATGTCAAGGATTATGTCAAAAAGCCAAAACTTCGCTTTAGATGGGGTGTAGAAGGTTAGAACTCATGTGAGCTTCTTACTGCTATCCAGAGCTCCGTTAAGAGGGGGTAAGGGGCAGTATATATATATATATATATATATTATTATTTTTTTTTTTTTAATTAGCTTCTTTTGGAGCATAGGGGTAGGATAAAACCGGTCATATTTTTATGTCTGTATATGTCTATGTTGCAGATTTTCCCTCACTTGCTGTCTGATAAGTTGTCAGCTGGACAGGAAATGTGAATTAATCCTAGCCCACTCCATCCAAAACTAGAAAACAATATTTTTGGCTTTACACATACTTTCTTCTCAATCAACCAGTGTGTTTACATCATCAAATCTTAATCTTGCTGGGGTGTATAAATACAAACCTTCCTCAAAAAAGATGTTGCTGCAGGGGAGAGTAAGCCAACCTGATCACAGATCCTACCTTAAAAGAAGATCCTATGGTCTCTTATGAGAAAGAGATCCTACAATCTAGACTCAAGAGCAGAATCTAATCTAAAGCCATTTTTCCCAGGAATTTAAGTATTTCAGGTATTCTGTTGCTCATTTTTTATCAATCCCCCAGCAAGATGTGAATCAAGTTTTTTAGGGGACTTACAGGATAAAGGTGTTTTTAGCCAACAATCCTTATCTCGCAGATTAGGCCCAACACATGCTAATACAATTTTTGTGTATGTCCACATGCTGAGCACAAACCCCCTCTCAAGCCTAACAAAAATTTAAAAAAAAAGAAAAAAATATTTGACACAATAAAACGCTTTGATTCAGGCTGATTTAGTATGACAAATCAAAAAATAAAACATGTGATTTCTGTTTTGGTCCTTTAACACAGAGCATCCTTCAGCATGGTACACACAGTCCTTTGATAAGAGAAGAATTCTACTTATAATTTCTATATAAGCTATTGTTAGAAAACCACGTTAGTTTGCAAAATGTTCACGCTGCTTTTAATTTTCCAAGAATGTCCAGGAGGAAATGGGCACGGCAGAGTCAGAACAACATTGTATATTTTTGCTTTCCCCTCTCTTCAGCTGTTCAGACAAGAATGTTTGTTTTCAGTTGGTTCTGCTCCTGTGAT